TATTATTATTATTATTATTATTATTATTATTATTATTATTATATTGCTTTTTTAATTAGGGTGGATATGGTGACCCAGAATCCTCCCTTAAGTTACGCTGCAATAGGCCTAGGCTGCTTCTCATGATGCTGTGAGTCTCCTTCACTCACCTGTTTTCCACTCACTTTGTGTTTATACACCGCTCTACATTTCATTATTAGTCATTATTAATGTCTGACTCACCCCCAACCATTCCCCATGCCCCTCGATGGGCCTGGTTCTGTTGCAGGTTCCTTCCTGCTAAAAGCAAGTTTTTCCTTCCCACTGTCGCCAAGTGCCTGCTCATAGGGGTTCCTATGATTGTTGGGGTCTACAATATAAAGCGCCTAAATAAAACTGAACTGAATTGGAATTTTCAAGATTTTCTCATGAACTTCTTAGTTAAAGGACGGATATCTTGCAAATGTAGCAGAGCTACGCACTCCCTGAGTGCTGATTGTGTTAACAAAAAGAATAAGATTAAATTCTGCTTTTTTGGCTTTGCTTAGATTATGCCTTGCCTTTGCAAGTGTTCCATACACATTACAACCGACTGCCATACAGCCCCCTGCAGCCCTGCGCTCACGTCTTTCTGGCTCATGGATCTGTGCTGCAGGTTGGAGAAGCACGACTGTGGCTCCTCTATCAGCTATGTTGAGTACAACAGCAATTAGCTGGAGCACGACACAGCGCAGCGCTGATCGCCACGGCACAAGCCTCTTCAGCGCTCAGACACCGATCTGGGAAAAAAAAAGGGGGGGTCTAATTGTGTAATTGTATAATTTGCCCTCACTGACGCCTGCGAGCACACAGGCAGATTTCATTACAGATTACACTGGGGCTCTTTGAAGGCACACTGCCCTGGAGGGCCTGCGGGGACTCAAGGCAAACAGAGCAGGAGGAATGGCGGCTGTGGAGCAGCGTAGCGTGGCCCGGCGTTCAGCTCTCTGCTCTCCTGCCAGGGTAAACAAGGAGGCTGCATAGCTCAGGAGCACAGCACAGCACAGATTAACCCTCCCACCCTCGCTCACATACACGCTGCCCTTTTAGTTCGCACAGGCTCCGAGTGTGTTCGCTGCTTTCCATGCTGCAAAAAATACTCACACACTCAATTCGCATTCATCGTGTGAGGGCGGACGGCTGTTCAAAAATTGCCCATCTGTCAGCGCAGCATCTTCAGGCCACTCCATTTTTAAATGTTTTTTCAAGTTTTTACGCATATTTTGAGAGATCAAACGTCAGGTCTGAGAGATTCGAGTGGTAGGTTCTTGCGCACTCATTGCTGAAGTTGGCATGGCTCTGGTGACTTAACACAAGTTTTGTGACTGCACAAATAGTCCACAGACAGCAAAATCCTTGAAACCACCTTGGCTCTCCAACAGTTTTCTTTAGGGCCACGCTCTAAAGATCATGTAGGTCATCATACAGGTAGGGCCTCTTCCTCCCCACTTCAAGCGCTCTTAACTCGTGGGTCGGACCGCACTCGTCCTTGAATAAACCTTCAGCTTGTTCTCAAATCCACCTGCAAAACTGCGTGACTACATCCACATCCCATTGAGAAAACCTCTCATACGAGCACCTGGCAAATGAATCAAGTCTCTGTGTTGGTTTCTGCTAAATTTGTGTCTCCAAGACCATAAAATTGCAAAGATGACAAACACAGAAATACATGTTGAAAACAATGCACACCACGCTGTTTCAGCTGCAAAGGTACCGCTAATTAATTTAGACATGTGTTGCACGGAGGAGGCCACCTGTTTCCCTGATACCTTTGTTCACTCTCAATATCTCAAAATGCTGCTGAGGCGAACAAAAGAAGCCTACCGACAGCAACAACGCAACTCTCATTGATGAATAATTACTCAGTAAATATTTTAGTTCCCCAGCTGGAAACTTTTTCTTAAAGTGGTCAGGTTAATGCGACCTGCTTTCCTTGTTTCCTGCGCCCTCTCTTCTCATTAATACCCCGACATTTCCACCATCTCCACATATCCGTTATCGTCTGCTCAGCTTGTAGATGCGGATCTTCTTTCGGGGACTCTGTCTGGTTGTGTGGTTTGTCACATGGCTCCTTCCTGCTACAGCTGGCTAATTAGCATTGGCTTTGCGGACATTAAGCGGCGATAGGGGTTTAAAGTTTCCGGGCTAATCCCTCTCCTTTTGGTCAGGAAATCAGAGCCTTATATGTCATGAGGTAGACTTACTTTCAGAGATTAAGTCTGGCAGTCTGAGGCTATTTACCGGCATTCAGGATGTCTGCCGTAAGCTGTTACTGCCTCTGCCACTTCGGCCCGTTTAGAAAAAACACACTGCAGGCTTTCACTGCGACGTGAAGCTGTGCATTCAGAGATTTTACACTGAAGCTGTTAGCAAGCTTTTCCAAAGCGGCCTGCATTACAAAGACCGCATCAGGAAGTTTTCTTTAAGAAAAAGTATTTATTTTGTTCATTTTTTCTATCTCTCTGGATAAAAGCAATCAATTAAATCAATTCTAGTTTAAGTCGAACTGAATCAAGTCTGAAAGATTAAAAGTCAAACATGAAAACGAAGCAATATTAGGTTTGAGTCTCTCACACATATTGAGTAGGTTGAATAGTTAAAATGTTGATATTGACAGAAGTAAAACATTTGTAAGCTGACCTCAGATCAAACATTTAGAAACTGGTATAAGATGTTCCTCAGGCAGAAGCCTAATGATTAAATGAGCACCATCTTAATTCCAGATCACTTTAAAAAGCATTATTCTTATTCTTATTTATTTTTTGGATACACCTAGTTGCTGTTGGTTCTGGAGTGGCCACATTTATATGTCATAAGTCACTGGACACTGTGAACATCCACGGTCACCACTTCATGCATAATGGACCTTCCATGACCTTCCAAGCTATACAGTTTATGTCTTCCATATTTCCAACTATATCCATAATCACACACTGTGTATGCTACCATTGTATATAGTGTATTATCTTACTGTTTTTCATTGACTGTACTTATTTGTATTTTTGTATTTCCTTCTGATATCTGCATCTGAGCTGAGGTGACGCAAAAATTTTCCCGTTGTGGGATCAATAAAGTCTTATCTTATCTTATCTTATTTATATTTCCGTGGAATAGCTTTGCTTGTTTTTCACACGATTTTAGAAAATTTAAAATTTCTCGTTTCTCTTGAACGAGTTCATCTCCCCTTCCCGATCCGTCTCTCGCCATGCAATCGTTGAAGCTGGATAACAAACGATTGGGTGAACTGCTAATGATAACCACGGGGCACTGAGAGTTTCAGGAGCGGCAGTATCTCCCACAATCATTGCCTCGG